GTGCTGTATGATGAATTCAAGAAAGTCATTTAAACAGCCTAACTAGAATTGGAAATCAAGTTGAGCAGATAATGTAGAATAACTACCATTATGGACCATTGACCTTCAAGAAATTCCTGTGAGTCTTATTTATCGGAGCCAGATGATATTTGTAGATGGGGCTAGAAACTGACCCAGAGGACTGATCCATTTTTCAGTAAGATGCATGAAGACACTGAATCTGTCAATTCAGTGTGGTGATCTTTTTTTTCAGGAATGAGTGGTGTTGGTTCTGGGTCCAGTTTAGTCAGAAGAAATTGTTTGCCTGTGGACCAGTCCCTAGTTTCAAGTCCCATCTTCTAGGACCATAAAATTGTATTTGAAAGTTCTTGCTAACAAATCTTGTTCTTTTCCACTTGTACTGAAGCACTATGTACCATTTTGCACAGCTGAACATCTAGCAATTTTGTTCTTAAATTGGGGCATTCTGCTGTAAAACAATAAACATACTCTGTCTGTGTTGAAATTACTACATAAAAGCTTTGGGAAAGCCTCTTTTCTTTGAAAACTTGTTTCAGATAATGGTTCCTCTGGTACACTTACACTGCACTCTGTAACAGAACATTTAAAAAAAACTGAATGTTGAGAACTTTGGGGGAGGGGAAGCATGGGTTATACTAATAGCAACCAATCCCATTCTTTGTGCCTGATAGTGTGTGATGGGCTGCTGCAAGTGGCTTTTTGCATGACTCCTAAAAAATGGATTTGCAATTCTTCATATGATTTAAAATGGGGTTTCCATTGTAGTGCTGGAAGAACCCAAATTCTCAAGGACAGTCAATAAGTAGTACTTTTGCCCTTGGTAAAACAGCTGAAACTGATTTGTTTTTTTTTGTTGTTTTTTACCAATATTAGAAAGCAGCATGCTATTCATGCAAAAATCCAGGAACCTAGTAAATGCCTTCGACTCCTGAGTAACTTGTGTATTGTATTGTTGCTGCTATTTGGAAATGCTGATTGTGCCATTTGAGATACTGTTTGGCCTTATCTGTAGCAGTGGTCAGTACCTCTGTGGAAGGTGAATTTAATCTGAAATGAGACTCATTCCAAGAGGTGATGGAGTATATGCAGGGTAATAGGTGTGCTTCTGTGTAGCTGTAATAATAGATCAAGGTAGGTCAGCCTTCAGTACTCATTGGTATCTAATTCTGGAGATTGTCAGAAGACCAGAACTGGACTGAATGGTTATACTGCTATTCAAGAGAATGTAATACCTATGTGCCATTCTTCATACGTATATAATCTTACTTTTGTACTTTGTAATCTGCAAAGACATGGTAGGAGGACAAGTAAAAGAAAACAAGGTGTTACTTTTCCAGTCATGTTTTTAAGAACTCCCTATATCTTAAGAAAGAAACTTATTGTATGAGTCACTGAAGGCTAGCTGAGCTGTCTTTGAGTTCTCTGTATGCCTTCCAAGGTTGCTTTTCAGGATGAAGTATTTAAATTAATTACCTGGCTTTGGCTTTTTATTACCTTCCTCATAAACATAATTTAGCTTTCTCCTTTCATTGTTTCACAAGCACTGCTTCAACATATGTGTATGTAAGTACATTACACAGCTACATTGTGCACAGGCTAATAGCAAACCTTATGTACGTACCTACTGCAAGTGAGTTTATCCTGTTTGGCAATGGTAGTTCCCTTTTCGTGTGGGCAGGTTACTTGATGTTGACCTTGCCAAACAACTTGCTGGTTCAGTTGTAATTATATTGACTGGGGGGGAGGGGGGGCAGGGGAAGAATTTTTGTCTGTATAAACACATTGCTTAAGTTTATTCTCTGTATTGGTGGCTTGAAAGGTAGAGTTAATGATAGGATGCATCACACATCCTCACTGTGAGCACATGGCCACCCAAGTTTTGTGAGGAAGAACCAAACCTGACAATTGCTTGAGCAGCCTCTGAAAGGGGGAGACATTTTCCACCTTACCTCCTCCTTCCACTCCAGACCTAGTTTTAAGCAGATGAAATGGGAAAACAAGTCAATGCAAGTGGAGACAGGTGCGTTTTTTTTTGAAGCAGAACTGCAATTTACCTATGCTGTGTGTTCAGCATGTAGTACTTGGTGTTCCTTTTTTTATTTTGGAGGGGGGGGGGGAAGGTATATGACTTCCATTAGTCATGCAGCAGCAATTTTCAACGTGTGATAATGCAGCGTTGGAACATGAGGCAAACAATAAATGAGACTTCTAAAAAAAAGCATTTGTTTTCTGCCTTATTGAAACACTGAAATATATTTGTTTTCAATGGTATCTTTAACAGGAAACTATCCAGAAGAAAATAATGGCTTCTAAAGCCTCTTTTTTGTTTTAAGGTATTGGAAATGGGGCTTACACCCTTTGAAAGGAGTCAAATGCACTGGTGTGAGAAAGTCTTTACATTTAAAATAGTTATTAAAACATCACAGATTTTATTCCAGTTCTCACAACTGTTACACTGGGGTGTTTTTTTGTTTGTTTGTTTTTGAGGACTTGCATACTGGAGTTCAGTCCCTATTAATACTGCAGAGGAAATACTGAGCACATGAAATGGCTGACTGGCAGCCCAATAGGAATAGCTTTGGCAAGTAATTCCCATTTTTGTTTTGCATAAATCTAATTGCTGTAGCAATTTGATGTTGCTGGTTGGAAAGTTGAAGGACAATTTGAAACACATTTTGAATAGTTTCTGCTTCAGAAAATACTCTGGGTAAGTAAAAATTAAAAGCTGGTAAAAGTAATTACTGAGGCATTCCTAAGCAGTTGTATCATATTGTAGGGAATTGCTCTCTTCAGAGGAAAGAAGAAACATGGCAGTGAAGGCAGGTATATGAGTTTCTTCTGTGTTTTGGACAAGAGGCCTTGTCTCGCATGGTGAGGACAATCTCGGCTAAGTTAAAGCAAGTCTTCACAGTAGGTGTTAGCAGAAAAGCTGTCTGGCATTATATTTTTGACCAAAGTGAAAATGACAAAGTTTATTGATGATCTCCATCTTTTACTCTGTTCCATTTTAGGTGGATTTTCATGGGACAGGCGAGTATACTCATTTTTAGTCTTTTTGTCAGGAGCATTCATGATTTTCTTGCATGTTGGGATCCAGTTGGGGAAAACAGGTGTGTTCTTTTTTGAAAGTTAGGTCATGTCTTCAACCATAGTTACTTCCTCGGTACAACCTTTTTTTGGTAAATTTACATATTCTGTCTAAAAAGGAAGAAAAATCTGTAACATGCAGTAAGCTACAGTCGCTTGGCAATTGGAGAATGCTTCGAAATATTAACACCAGTACCAAAGGCACTTTGTCTTGCTGTTTAATGCATAAGTAATGCTTGCAAGGCAGGAGAAAGCAGGTTTAAGGACAGGCTGAGAGAGCTGGCCTTGTTCAGCCTGGAGAAGGCTCCCAGGAGACCTTATAGCAGCTTTCCAGTACCTAAAGGGTGCTCACAAAACTGGAGAGGGACTTTTTATAAGGGCATGTAGTGACAGGACAAGGGGAATGGCTTTAAGCTGAAAGAGGGCAGATTTAGATTAGATATTGGGAAGAAGTTCTTCCCTGTGAGGTTGGTGAGGCACTGGCACAGGCTGCCCAGAGAAGCTGTGGCTGCCCCATCCCTGGCAGTGTTCAAGGCCAGGTTGAATGGGGCTTTGAACAACCTGGTCTGGTTGAAGGTGTCCCTGCCCATGGTAGAGGGCTTGGAACTGGATGAGCTTTAAGGTCTCTCCAACCTATAAGGTTTTTTTTGATGTTTAACATGTATGATCAATACTAGCTTTATGTCAGTGGAAAGAAGAAGAATAGAAGGTGATTTAAATGATAGCCTTAACTGGGACAATAGAGAAAATGGCTGACTGGGTAATATTGGCTGGGTTTTCTATACGTAGACACTAACTAGACTTGTAGAAAAACCAGTTTGGTTGCTATCATACAGTTTTACGTTGGTCAACCTGGAATTCTAAGAGCAGAAGTTTCTAGCCAAGATCATAGTAGTGATACAGTGCTTGGGGCTTAAAATACTGATGGGAGATATATTCAATTTGTAAATAAGTAGGAGGGATAGTACTGGTGGGAGGGGGCAAACTTGGAGTCATTGTGAGGGTATGTTACAGAACATCAAACCAGGGCACTTTGTTGGGTAATTTTGCCTAGGAAATCTGGGGGATTGGTAAGTACTGCAGGGCTTTGTGGTCACGTTTTTTGTGCTACTCTGCCATTCTTTGGGGAAAGAAATGCATGTGCACACATAGTGTGTATTGCAAGTTCTTGGAATGCATTTAATTCCAGAAAACGGGAAAAGTAAGTATTGAAATATAGTTCTGAGTGAGGGTAAGGAAGTAAGGAATCTGAAGAGGCTGCAATTTTTGAAGGACAGCTTGCTACTTTACTAGCTATTGTTTATTTATATGATGGACTATGGACTGCTGCTGCCTGTAGCCTTAGCTCTGGTAGCCTGGTATGAGAAATCCGGTATTTATGACTTAAGGTGTATGAGGAAACTCATCCAAGTTGCATTACTACGTGCCTTCTATTAAAGCCAAAGATGGTAGGAGTAAGCAAATAAGTTAGGACAATGTGCTAGTATATAGGTACCAAAACTAGAGTGTTTTAGTAGAAACGTTGTGAGGATCCTTTGTAAAGGATTAAAGGAAAATTTGTGTTACTTTTGAAAGCCTCATTGAAAAGGGTTGTTTTGCCCACTGAAATTCAATAAACAAATAGCCTGATTTATTGACCTAAAGTGCATCTTTGCTTTAGCCAGCTGATACAAAGCATTCCCTCCCTGTGTAAGCACTATACAAACTATTGTTCAAAGGGGCAAATTGGAAGACAAGCATTAATAGTTTGAAGCTTGGTTGTCATTATGTGAATAAAGACCAGAGGAGTTAGTTGCTGTTAGCACTATGCAAGCGTGTAAGATACTGTAAACAGGAAAGTAATAAGGATAAAAAGCAATGGACTAAGTGCGGTAAAACGGGCCATTAAAGTTTTTTTTTAGTAAGGATAATTAAACACTACAATAGACTGCACAGGGATGCTACAGAATATTGGTCAGACATAATTAGCACAAAACATCAAAACTGTCATAGTCAATCCTCTGCTGAAGCAACATAGGAAAGCTAGTTAAGCTGTTGAGACTGCCAACCCTGTTGATTTTCATTCAGTGCCACAGGTTTTTTACATGGGGATAAGACAAAATACGTGTTGACATTGCATTATGATCACTGATATTTGAAAATGCTAATGGAAAATGCTTCCTCACTTGGGTTATTTTCAGAGTATGAACAGCAACCTAGCAAAACTGCTACACACAGAAATTGCTGGTCTCAGTGAAAGTGATAACTCTGGTCTTAAAATATGGCTACGAATACATACAGCACTGGATACAGCATTTCTAATTCTAAACCAGCATATTTTGTATGAGAGCAAATTAAACACTCATCTTTATATGCCAGTTCTTCTAGTCTTTGGCCTATTGTGCTTTATAGTTAACAGCTTTGAATTCAAAAGAAAGCATACCTGGTTATCTTCATCAGTCGATGCATTAAATTTGTCTCTTGGTTGTGGTATGGGAGAAAATAGGCTCTTGAAATTGCAGTACCTTTGGGTAGAAAATGAGACTGTGAAGAAATTAAAAATACTGGTAATATAACTTACACACACGTTTTGTATTGTACCTTGAGGATATTTTTTACTTTCAAGATAGAACAGCTTTTTCTCTACAAATCACCAAGTGAGAAATAAAATATTTTGAGTGTAGACTGATTGGGTAACTATTATACTAATCACTTGGGTAACTGAAATCTATGTTGCGGTGAGAGTCACAGTAAATACTATTAAATAATGACTTTGAATAAATCACATGGCATAACTTTCTTCCACCATTAAGTGGAAGTTTTATCAAAATAATCATAGAATCATAGAATGGTAATGACACATTCATTTGTCCTGATTCTCTTGGTACTGTGTGATGCCAATAGCTTCAAAGTGATGTGTATGTTGAATGCATACAAGAACAGAAATGTTTTTGCATGATCTGGTGGAATCAATCACTTACTTTAATATCCTTTCACCCTTTTTTACTTGCAATGAATTTGTATGCCAAAGTGCCATTTGCAACAGTACTAGTAGTAATACTTAATGACATTGATAGAATCATAGAATAGTTAGGGTTGGAAAGGACCTTAAGATCATCAAGTTCCAACCCCCCTGCCATGAGCAGGAACACCTCACACTAAACCATGTCACCTAAGGCTCTGTCCAGCCTGGCCTTGAACACCGCCAGGGACGGAGCATTCACAGCTTCCCTGGACAACCCATTCCAGTGCCTCACCTCCCTCAAGTAAAGAACTTCTTCCTTATATCCAATCTAAACTTCCCCTATTTAAGTTTTAACCCATTACCCCTTGTCCTATCACTAAATTCCCTAATGAACAGTCCCTCCCCAGCATCCCTATAGCCCCCCTTCAGATACTGGAAGGTTGCTATGAGGTCTCCATGCAGCCTTCTCTTCTCCAGGCTGAACAGCCCCAACTTCCTCAGCCTGTCTTCATACAAGAGGTGCTCAAGTCCCCTGATCATCTTCGTGGCCCTCCTCTGGACTTGTTCCAACAGTTCCATGTCCTTTTTATGTTGAGGACACCAGAACTGCACACAATACTCCAAGTGAGGTCTCACAAGCGCAGAGTAGAGGGGCAGGATCACCTCCTTCAACCTGCTGGTCATGTTCCTTTTGATGCAGCCCAGGATACGGTTGGATTTCTGGGCTGCGAGCGCACACTGAAGCTGGCTCATGTTCATTTTCTCCTCAGTCAACACCCCCAAGTCCTTCTCCGCAGGGTTGCTCTGAATCTCTTCTCTGCCCAACCTGTAGCTGTGCCTGGGATTGCTCTGACCCAGGTGTAGGACCTTGCCCTTGGCATGGTTAAACTTCATGAGGTTGGCATCAGCCCACCTCACAAGCATGTCAAGGTCCCTCTGGATGGCATTCCTTCCCTCCAGTGTATCAACCGAACCACACAGCTTGGTGTCATCGGCAAACTTGCTGAGGGCGCACTCAATCCCACTGTCCATGTCAGCGACAAAGATGTTGAACAAGACCGGTCCCAACACCGATCCCTGAGGGACACCACTCGTTACCAGTCTCCAGCTGGACATTGAGCCATTGACCACAGCTCTTTGTGTGTGGCCATCCAGCCAGTTCTTTATCCACCCAGTGGTCCATCCATCAAATTGATGTCTCTCCAATTTAGAGACAAGGATGTTGTGTGGGACAGTGTCAAACACTTTGCACAAATCCAGGTAGATGACATCAACTGCTCTACCCCTGTCCATCAGTTCTGTAGCCCCATCATAGAAGGCCACCAAATCGGTCAGGCAGGATTTCCCCTTAGTGAAGCCATGCTGGCTGTCACAAAGCACCTTGTTGTTTTTCATGTGCCTTAGCATGCCTTCCAGGAGAATCTGCTCCAAGATTTTGCCAAGCACAGAGGTGAGACTGACTGGTCTGTAGTTCCCTGGGTCAAATCAGATCATTTAAATTTGTAGGTAGGAAAGTAGGAGGTAGAAAGAATGTGTTTCATAAAAACAATACCCTATTAATAGTAAACCAATAAGGTTGATTTACCTTTTGAAAAGACAATATTGGAGCAGTGTCACTGAGATTGTTCCAAGTGCTATCAGAAATAAAATCACTAAAGGAAAGTGATCTTTCCCTTGACCTGAAACATCCAAGACAGAGAAATATCTTAGTATGCTGAAAAGCTACCTTTGTCACTGTCAGTAATGGATGACAATGTCACATAATCCTTTTTTTTTCAACAACCTGAAGGATTTCAGCTTGACTTCTTACAGGTACGCTTGATGCATTTCAAACCATTTCAAATATTTAAAATGTAGAGTAAAAAAAAAAACAATAGGAGAAGAAACAGTCAGAGAATGAATTACAGAACAAAAGTGGTATAAAAAGACTGTTGAGGAAAGGGTGAAAAGGAAGATGCATTAGAAAGGGGACAACATTCGTGATAAAAACTTAGACCTGAAAGGCAGCCTCAGAACTTTGGACCAAATACAAGACTGAGTGTCTCAGCCTGTTCTTGTAGCCCTGGCATCTGAGTAACTGCTGCCTTCGCAATCCCAACTAATCAAAGACTGCTATCAGCCTCCCTTGCCATTGTAATGGAGCTTCTCCTACACATTAATAATTTCCACCCAGTTTCTTCCACATGATTGGATAAGATTTAAGATTTTATTCATATTTTTAAGAGGGAGAAAAGGAAGCGAACATGGTAATACTGAAAAAAAAAAATTAAAATAATATTTTACAGTCTTACCAAACTCAATGGGTTCACTCCATTCCCCCCAGTTTGAGCTCACGAGACAATTTTTTCCACGTGCTCTGATTTTCAGAATGTACTTTTTTTCTTCATTGTAATTTTGGAATTCATATCTGTTGCTCCTTACCTAAAATCAAAACAGTCAGACTGTTCATTTCCCCCCGTAAACAAATATTTATGACATTTGAGTTTAAATTCCTGATGCAGTTTCTACAAAAAAACTAATTCGTATGACTGTAGGTATGTACTAGTTAAACGTTCTTCTTCCTAAATGTAAAACTGTGATAAATTAGTTCAACTGCCATCGAATCTTTCTGTTTCTTTGAAGTTTCAAGTTGGATTTTAAAGTTTATTTGGTCTTTATTTTATTATGCTTTAAGGACACCATTTTTTCCCCTGTTCCTTTTTATGTATCCTAAAAATCCCATAACAGAAAGTTGAAACTGGAGAAATACCCTGTAAATTTGCCTTGCATCCTTTACAGGGATTAATCATGCAAATGTTCCTTGCATGGTGCCTGTCTTTGCTAAATAGACTTAATATTTTTGAGACAATCCACAAGCAGATATGTACCATCTGGCCTCATGATAATTTCTACAAGGGATGGAATCTGCCAAGCTTAAGATGCTTCCGGGGCTGAGAGGACCACTCATTTGTTGTGGAAGACTGTGAACATCTCTGTGTTCCCTCTGTCTAGCTGTTTGGAACTCCAGTGGTATTTTTTCACCAACAAAGAAAGAATGCTTCCAGTTTTTGTTAAACAAAATATCACATCTGTCATAAGCAAAAGCTATTTGTGAGATAAATGGAAAGTATGAAATTTTGTGAAATTCATTGAAAATTCTGCATCCCCAAAAGGGATGTATTAAGTTTACACGTGAAGATACCACAGGAATATATTTTCCTGGAATCTCATTGCTATATTGATATAAAAACTATAGTTCTAGAATTAAGTATATTTTATATAATGGTATTTAAATGCTTAAGTGGGCAGAAGCGCAAATTTGAATATAAAAAAGAATACTTACTTTTACAGGAGGATCCTTTTTCTGTTCTTTGGGTTCATCCTGCAAACAAAAGACAAGTCTTCATTTTCATTATTTTCTTTTGTTCCCATTTTCTTGCTTATAAAGATCACAAGTAATTTTAAACTGACAAAAAAAGTAATCGGATATTCTGCTTCAGTAATGTTCTAGAATGTTGCACTTTATTACAGAGTTTTGGCTTCCTCCATTCCTTTTAGAATAGGAAGGAAACATGAATTATTTACTTATCTGCCCATGGGCTTATGGGCATATTAACACTGTGCATCCTCACACAGCAGAAGTATATCCAATTTACACATGTAATCAAATCATCCTCCAAATACAGCAGATCCGGAAGCTGTGATTTCATAACAGTTTGATAACATGGTGAAGACAATTGATGTGAACAATAAATTTACCCTCCTTCCAGTCAAAGTCTGTATTAGACATCTGAGTGATCTGTGCACAAGGGCTTCCCCCAAAGTATTGTGAAAAGCTCTTGCACATCCCATACAATCAAAATTTAATTAACAAGAAGCAAACATTGACCTGGATCAAAGCACCTGAAAATTCTGAAAAAAAAAAAGAAAAAGGATAGGTTCAAAAATGAGTGAACAAAACAGACAACAGCTTTTCTGCTTTGTACCTTTGGTTAGTTTGGAAGGTCATGACTGCTGTGATATGAAACCAGCAGGGCTGGAGCAGGAGGACACAGCTTATGAGAAAGAAGTTAATAAATAAAGGAAACAGAAATTTGCACATTATAGATATGCATGCATGCAGGTATGGTCTCAAATACAAACCAATAAATTTTTACCTTATTTTGTATGCTAATTTCATACTGAAAACACTTTATGTTTTCCACATGACTTGTAAGGGGTGCTTGCCATGTAATTATGCAACCTGCTGAATCTCCAGTACAATTGACAGTGACATTTAATGGAGGAGTGAGTATTTCTGGAAAGAAATTAAATTATTAATGTAGACATAGACAGTAATCAGCTACAACTTATCCATTCATAGCAAAATACATCTGAAGTTGAGGCAACTGATGTACAGCTGTATGCTACTGATGTTAACAAATGTTATCTGGTAAACGGGAGTAAAATACAGTAGCAAAACTTCAGTTGTTGGACACCTGAAGTAACTGACTTTCATGTAAAAAAAAGTACGAAGGATTTTGGTAATTGAGTAGTATAATCAGCAGAGTTCCATTTTCTTCTGCATCTAAATTTCACATAAACAGCGCAAGTCTTCATAGGAAAAAAGACAGAAGTTTTGGTGCATGTGTTATTGTTCATGTAGAAGACCAAGTCATCTGAATTTGAGTACCTACAATACAGGTGAGATCTCATCACTATTGCCTGTGATATCTGCAAAACACTGCAGAGCAGGTCTGCTTGTCTGAATAGCTCTGGGCTTTACAGCCTGCACCAGCTGCAAGCAGGAGTCAGTCTTGTGCTGTGCATACACCACACAGGACACCCAGGAGGACCCTGATTTCTCACAGGTCCTGGACCACATCTGTAAACCTTGCAAATGCTTCAAGTGTCTGAGAATGTCTCAAATGACACTAAAGGCATGTTTTTCAGCAGCTGAATCCTGTCCCAGATCTCCATTAGAGTTCTATCACCTATCTCGCACATAGGTACCCACATATTTAACGAATGCAGAATTAATTTGCAAGTCTACTCTCCCCCAGCCTCAGTTATAGGACATGTAGCTCTTGCAGCTCTCAGAGACACATAGAACTAAAGGATGGAAAAATGAGGCCATCAGAAGGGTGGCCTTGAAAGTCTAACCATTGCATTTCATCACTTGGATTTCATGGAAATGTTCACACCACTTGAGCAGTTATTTCAGACTGCTTCTGCCTTCTGCTCATTTGGGAATATTTGGAACTATATTCTGTCACCTATCAGGATGAAGTCTGTCCTGCAGTGCTGGATCCTACGATGAATAGAGACTTTGGTTTATTCTTTTCTCTTCAGAGAAAAATTCCCCATTTCCTTATTTTATAAAACAGTAATAAAATAAAAATGTTCACTTACCTATTTTATACAGTTGAATGTACTCATCATAGAACTGGATCAGGGAGTCTTTGCTAGAGCCGTTCACCAGGAAGTAAGCTTTTTCAGTCTCTATCCTCACATTTTGGAATCTACATCCTGTATTTCTGCCATTTTCATCCTTAATGTAAAGCTCACATTCCATCGCATCATCATATCTATATACAGCAAGGTATTTTAGATAAACATGGGCAAAATTGAATGAGAATTTGGACTTCCCTAGGCTCAAGCAGACCTACTTACCTGGAGTTCTGCCAGTAGAGAAAATACTGGGTATCTCCTGGAGCATCCTTGCCTGCCTGCCAAGTGCAGCTCATGAGGGAAATGTTATAAATCACACAGGAGAAGTTTTCAATGGCTGATCCATTCATGCCTGCAGAAACAGGAATATCCATGATGAGTAAAAATCATGTGACTGCTCCAAGCTGGAGCTAAAAAATTGCTGAGCTAGTTGTAGGAAACTTCTTTTCACAAAAACATTTTCATAAGGCTGCAGAAACTTGTTCATCCTACAGGGAACAAATTAAGGAATGAAGGATTTCAGTGTTTCTTTTACCCCCAGGACATTGGAAGCAGGCAAATCCTTTCCCAAAGCCTAGCATATTACTTTGCAGAATATATCTGCATATGCTGGAGTATGAGCCATCCATGTTCACAGCTGTGACAGAAAAGGTTGCTCCATTGTTTAGAGGAGGTGCTTGGGTTAAGCATGAAAACTGAGAGAAAGCTAGACTCTCATGCTATTATAACTGATTCTGAGCCCTGAAACCTGTGAGTGAGTAGAGCATTCACACAGGTAAAGGAAGGTACATTGGCATTTCATGCCATCCTTGGTGCTACAGAGAGAAGTCTTTCTCGTTTTCCAGTCTCATGAATCCACTCCTGAAGGGTTTACATACAGCTTTTAAAAAGCTGAGACTTTAAAAGTAAATTTGGGCTTTTTTCTGCCCTCTGATCAAATAGCTGCCTAGCGAGATCTTTCCACTCTGATGTGGGTGATAGTGACTTGATTTTTCCCTTTTCTGTAGCACCTGAAGTGCGTTTCTTTGGAAGCTGAGCCTCCTTCTCACTCCTCCTTCAGCCAGTTTTCTGCTGCCTGCCCTGACTCTAGCCCCCTCCAGCACCCAGTATTCCACCTTGTGGAAGTGGAAGGAAATCGCCTGTGGAACCTGCATGCTTGGAGGCTAGGGACAGCCTGGGAGGAACTGCAAAAGTAAGAGGGTTTAAGAAGCAGAGTGTCCTGGCTTGTATTCTGAGAGTCACTGTGAGAGCTTTTCCTCTGTCAAGTACCCAGAAGAGATGAGTAAGGAGTACTTTCCTGCTCAGATATGAGCAAGATGATCTCATCACCTCTGCCAAGTCTGAAATCCCCCAGTCATGCACAGCTGCAGGAGCACTGGTGACTGGGCAGTTTTAATGGAGAGCTCCGAGTGGAGAAGGAATGGGAAAACAGGCTGTAGAAACTTTATGTTTGAAATCATGAGCCTAGGGTCTGCTTAAACCCCACTTAGACTAGCTCCCACATGGGGCAGGTTCAGAATGTCTTTGTAAGCAGTTGCCTCAGCACAGTGGATGCACGGCAGCTGAAGGAACCTGTGCACATGCATTGTATGTGCATGTATGTGTGTGAGCACGTGCACATCAGTGCCAGATTAGGAGACTGCTACATTCAGTTTGCCCCTATTTGCTTATCACAGGCATTTATTTTCCTCTCCTCCTCTCATTTTATGGGTTATACTGCTCTCCAGACTGTGCCTTTAGCTAGCTTTGTGGTGTAGCTCCTTACAAGCTCACCCACAGCCCAGCAGAAAAGCATTTAACAAAGAAAGGAGCACTAACATCTTAATTTGTAACAGATAGAACAGCTATTTGAATCCACCCTTAAACCACTGTAATTTAGTGGTATTTTTGAACCCTAGTATGAAAGAGAATAATGCAATTATCGAAACATTTGTGGTAGTGCATCTCTTGCAGAATTTTGGAAACATAACAGAGCAAGTAGTTTTAGCAGATCTGCAAAAAATATTTTTTAATAGAAAGTAAAGCAGTTACCTACTGTGTAAAGAACTGTTTTCTTTAAAAGATTGCAAATGGAGAAAGCCTTACCCAGACCATAAACATTACCTCCTGGGATAAAGGTGAAGGTTTTTGAGATGTTTGTGTTTGGCACTTCAATAGTAAGGAATACCCCTTTGTGCAGAGGCAGGTATAGTTCCACTGGAAACCTGCATAGTGGACTATCCACCTGAAAAATAACATTTTGATGTTTTATTTCTCTGTTTTTCCTCTGCTGGTGTTAGATGATGCTTGCTCTGGAAGTACAGAAACTCAGTTTGAAGGCCTGGAATCTCATGTGTATATATGTGTGGTTTAGGCTCAGGAGCTAACTCTCTCCTTTACCACTTGAAGGTGATGTATAATGGTGCTGACTGATCAAAAGCACAGCTACACAAAACACTTTGCTGCTCAGGAGTTGGATGCTACACTAATGGGCAACTATTAGAGAAGCCTAATAGTACCCCAGTAGCATAACAGAGGATGGTTAATAAACAGGGGAACCACAATGGAACTTAATCAAAGGATTAAGTAAAATAGAAGTCCATTCCAACCTCCCGAGGGGTCGGAAAGTTGTCTATGGCATTGTACTTATAACCTTCAATAAAGTTGTAGTGTGGTTTTGTAATACGTATTTCTAAATAAGGCTTCTGCTTTGCTATGCTAAATAAGCCATCTCTATCTCTCTTTCGGTCTGTCAGGCTTCCTTTAGATGATGTGGGATTACTTTATAACCAGTGCTACAGGCATGATCCAATTTACCTGGAAACAGGTGAAGAACTGGAGATAATGAAAATCCATGGCAGTATTTGGGGAATTAATTTTTCATCTGAAGGGTCTCTTTCTCTGTCTGAGTCTCACTAAGTCTTATAGCCCCTTTTTTCAGCAGCTACATCCCTATTCATAATGGAATGTAGGTACAGTTCAGGCCATTGCTTCCTTTCTACTTTGTTGACAGAACTTCAGTTCTGTAATGCACAGGATGTCCTCCAGCAGCAAATGCACCCTGGCACTGGTGGCAGCTTTCCACAGCCCCTGATAGATCAAGCTGTGGACTGCAAACAGTCACTGATTGGATTTTACCTGCAGCTGATCAATTTTTCCAAAGTAACTGAAATCAATAAAAGGTAAAGAAAAAAGTGCAATTATTTATCTCAATGAATAACAAGTTTACCTCTGTCTGTATACTTTCAATGTCCCTGTCCATGATGGTACATTTGTACTTAGAGAAATTTTTGCTGCTGTCCCAGGTCAGTTCCATTTTTCTCCAATTCATTTTCACATTTGCAATAGGTGATTCTTGTGCCTCTGCTGAAAGTGTTACAGAATAAGTTCAGTAAGGATAGGCTGTCATTTTTGTTGAATGCAGAAGATAGTATCTATCAGGCTTAAGATGACAATTGACAGATTATTTGCAAATATCTCTGATAAATGAAGAATTCAACCCCGTTTCTCAGATTATATCTGCAAAAACATACTTACGCTCTACATACTGGATGTCAGCGTGCAAGGGATGAAATAGCATCATATAACACCACATCATGCAAATGAGTCCAAGAGTATCAAACATCTTTTCTTCTCTGGAAAGGGACAATGAAGCCTTCAGAAAAAAAACAAAAAAAACCAAACCAAACCAAACCAAAAAAAAAAGGAAAACCATACCAAACCAAAGCAAATAAAAAACCGCAACAAAAATCATACAAAAACCCCAAACTTTCCCCCCTCCCACCCCCCCCAAAAAAAAAAAAAAAAAGATGCCAAAGTGTACTTTGGTTTCTGCAAAGCTTTTTTTTTTTTTTTTTAATGAGAAGAGTCAAAATACTCTTTAGAAAGGGCAAGCAGACAATGCTTCAGGAGGCCTGACAGGCACCTCTTCTTTGAAAAAACTGAATAGGCTCACTATTGTCAATTACAACACAGCAGCCTGAGGCAGAGGCCACAGGCTCTCATTATGATACATACACTCACTGTATTTGGTGCAGAGACCATGATTTGACACATGTGATTGACATGCTTGTAAAGTGGGCTGATGCCAACATCATGAAGTTTAACCATGTCAAGTGCAAGGCCCTACAGCTGGGTCGGAGCAATCCCAAGCACAGCTACAGGTTGGGCAGAGAAGAGATTCAAAGCAGCCCTGTGGAAAAGGACTTGGGGGTGTTGACTGATGAGAAAATGAACATGAGCCAGTAGCGTGCGCTTGCAGCCCAGAAAGCCAGCCGTGTCCTGGGCTGCATCAAAAGAAGCGTGACCAGCAGGTTGAAGGAGGTGATCCTGCCCCTCTACTCTGCTCTCATGAGACCTCGCTTGGAACTGCACACAATACTCCATTTGTATTGTGGAGTATCGTACAGTTCTGTACAATACTCACTTGGAGTATTGTGTGCAGAGTGTTGTGTACAGTTCAACATAAAAAGGGCATGGAACTGTCGGAACAAGTCCAGAGGAGGGCCATGAGGATGATCAGGGGACCGGAGCACCTCCCATATAGGCTGAGAAAGTTGGGGCTGTTCAGCCTGGAGAAGAGAAGGCTGCGTGGAGACCTCATAGCAGCCTTCCAGTATCTGAAGGGAGCCTATAGGGATGCTGGGGAGGGACTGTTCATTAGGGACTGTAGTGATAGGACAAGGGGTAATGGGTTAAAACTTAAACAGGGGAAGTTTAGATTGGATATAAGGAGGAAGTTCTTTACTGTAAGGGTGGTGAGGCACTGGAATGGGTTGCCCGGGGAAGTTGTGAATGCCCCATCCCTGGCAGTGTTCGAGGCCAGGTTGGACAGAGCCTTGGGTGACATGGTTTAGTGTGAGGTGTCCCTGCCCATGGCAGGGTGGTTGGAACTATATGATCTTAAGGTCCTTTTCAACCCTAACTGTTCTATGATTCTGTAATTCTATGATTCTATTTAGGATTACTGTTTTCCGACATATATATCCTAACTATACCATCAGAAAGGCAGGTTTTCTTGCTTTCTGACCCTGAGAACATCACTGCAGATTTTCCTAGTCAGTGTTCCCATTTCTGCTGCAAAATGACCATTTAGAGTGGCTTTCAACCATTTGTTGAAGGCACCTTTTGTGAAGTGGATGGTTTGTCTTTGCTTGTGTCAGGGTGTGGATGACTTAACTTCTCTGTGAGTAGTCCTTTAAAGCCAGCATCACCACGAGGCATGTTCAGATGCTCCTGCCAGCATCTATTAGGAGTGCATTGAAAACATCTATGAGTTCTGAACTATCTAAAAAAGCAGGAAGAGAAAGGTCTCAATCTTTGCCAGGTTTTGGCAGGAATTAAATGCTCACCTGCTCAGCTTTTTTGAATATGGCCAATCTACAGTCTTGATTCAAAGTCTTTTGAGGCTGATTTCAAGATTTTATGTAATAACACCTTAATAACCCTTAAAATAATGTTTACAGCAATGCCCTGAATCACTTTCCCTTTTTTTCTTTTTTGCCTGTAGGTAAATATCAAAGCTGACTGTGGACATACCGTGAATATGCTAACGAATGCAATTGTTAGGTGTAGTTTACTGTATCTCACTGTCAAATAAAATATCTTTTTTCCACACTTTCTTTGTTATTATTGGTTTTGGGTCCAGAAATTGTTGAGTCTTACGGTGAATATTATTAAACTTGTTGCCCAGATTTGAATGCATCAACTATGGAGAGAGCATCTTCCTGGCTTTGAAATTTTGAGGAAAATATCTCTCCCTCCTCATTCCCACGGAAAAGTTAATGGAAATAGTCTCCTCCAGCCCTGGTCAGCAGGAAAGGGAGCCCCAGGTGCATGCCATATGGCATTTTCTGGTTCTTCCTGTGCGCCCTGGGGGAGGACATGAGGAAGTGGAATGTTGAGCACACTTTTAAACTGGAAGCCAGTGTGTGTGAACTGAAGGGGAAGGCAGATGCCAAGAAGGGTTCTCCCAAGAAGCCTCCCAACAGCTTAGTTGCTGTTGAGATGGAAGAAGGTGATCAATGATCGCCCTGATGCAGAAGGACTGGAATCACTTCCCCTGATTACGGTGAAGGGACTTCTCGTCTGGTGCTGCGAGGGTCAGACAGTGAATACTCCAACCAGAAACAGAGGGTTTCTGCCTTTGGCCAGGAGGAGGAAAGGGGTGGCTGGGTGTACTGGGCTGTGTGGATTTGAAGGCCTGGTATATCAGATAAGGAAGTATGAAGCTTTGGTAGAAACCAGAGCACAGTGTACCCTGGTTCCATTGCTTGCCTATCCTTCTATATTAATTTTCACGGTCATTTCAGAGTGTTGATTTCAGACTGACTTCACTTACAGTGAAAGAAAAAACCCAGCCAGACCTTCCAAGCAAGCTGGAGTCTTGAATATTTCTAGGATCCACCTCACATTTCATGGAAATTAGCTTGATGTGACCTGTCTGCCATGGTCTCCATGAATCAAGCCAAGACAGGACACCATGCTGGGATTGCAACAGTCACAAACTCTTCACTGTCACCTGATTCTTATCAGCTCATCTCTTGCAGCATCTATCATCATGCTACTGTAAGGATGTGGCCACAGCTGCTGGGAAGTGATACAGAAGAATCTTAAGTGCAAACAGTATGGAGGACTGGTCATGAAACGCTGTGTGAGATACTGGTCTCAACAGTTATTTCCACTTTCCCATGCTCTCAGTGATCTCCCCAGTAAGGCACATAATAACCATAAGACTTGTTATTCTAGTCTGCCCCTTTTCATATAAGCATACCTTTCTCAATTTTGTGCCATCTGTTAGTTACTCTTAACCTTTTTGCCTTCCTTTCCTTATCCTATGTTCCTTTTTAGGCAATTGTTTTCCTATTCTCTGGTAACTGTCCACCTTTCCTTTATAGTATTTGCTTCATTCTTCTTGTCATCTCCCTCTGTCTACTGTCCCTGATGACTCCTTTGCTTTCAAAATATCCCTCACATTTCCTACCCATGACAGCAACCCCATACTGCAAGCACTCTTGACACTTTCTCATGGAAATACTTGTTTGGAGTGCTGAGAAAGGAGTCATCTGCCTGCTTAGAGAAGTATTTGCTGGCACCATTGCCTCCAGGCTCTGGACATGTCACTGGGCTTGCAGTGGGAATAGCAAGGCCTGCAAGTATTCACTTTCCTCATAAGAAATGGCCATGTCCTTTGACCACAGCGCTAGGGCGATTTGCTTCCCACAGGGTTTGTGTTTCACAGTTGACTAACTTTTAAAACAAATTACACAAGAAAGGATCAGTGTTGGGTTGTGCCTATGTTCTCTGCATCACCCCAGCTGAATATACCAACACATAGCCAGGTTCCCTGTTTTTTCTATTTCCTGAAGGCAGGATAAAAGATATAGGAGTTGTGGTGAACCCTAAGCCATTTACCTGACTGATCCATACCTTCTGACCAGTGGCCAAGCAAATGGCTCCAGCAGCACATCGGTAGAATGTTAGGAGCTTTTCTCCCTCCACCATCTCCCAAACTGGAGACAATTGTGGTATACCTCCCTCTGCTCTGAACAGACTTCGGTATTGAAGGTTTCAAAAGGAACACACATCTAAACTGGTTGGGAGTGTTGTTTGGAAGATCAGACAGAAGAAACATATATTCTTTGTAAGCAGTATTTCCTCACATTTTATTAATACAGGAGGTAATATAGAATTCATTAGGATGAAACCCCCTATCCTTAACTCTGCTTGTTTCTGCTTTGCATCTTTCCTTTTTTCTCCCCTGGCCAGCCTCACAAGTACCTTGACCTCCCCTGCTACACTGGGGACAACCCCAGAAGGGACTCCAGCACCTGGTTTGCACACTCTTCAATTCTGAAGTCACTCCCTAGTTCTCTCCAAGGCAGGTTTGCTATAAACCTGATCTATCCACCTAAGCTGTGTGAATGTGAGTCAGCCAGTGATACCTGGCCTTGGAGCTTTCTCTTATTTAGAGGTGTGTGCATCTGCATAGAGTGCATGTTTATTTTTTTTCACTAGCATTTTTTCACTAGCAAGATCTTACCAAGGAAAACATTGCTAAATTATTATCTAATGTTACCAAAGGTTTGATGTGTCCTACTAAGCAGCAGTGATCATATCACTCATAAACTTGATGACAGCAAACATAAGTCTGTCACTGAAATCCGGGAAATAAACTCTCTAACCAGAATGACAGGTTAGAAACATATCAATTTCTTATGGTACTGGGTGCATGGGGGATTGCTCCAGCTAACACACACACTGAGAAGAAACAGTTTACAGCTTATACATCTTCATTATGTACATATTCATTATAATTCTAGAAGGAAGTGCAGCAGGAGGGCCAGGAGACCTCCTTGGATGGATAACGAGCTGATGAGGAAACTGGGAGGGAAAAAAGAGGCATATAAAAGGTGGAAGAAAGAACAGGCAGCCTGAGAAGAATACAAGGACGTTGTCCAGGAAGCTGGGGACCAGGTTAGGAAAGCTAAGGCCCAGTTAGAATTACACTTGGCTAGGGATGTGAAAGATAAAAGGAAGGGATTCTATAGGTACATTGTAAATAAGAGACAGACTAGGGACAACGTAGGCCCCCTCTGGAAGCTCACGGGAGAAATAGCTACACAGGATTTGGAGAAGGCTGAGGTTCTTAATGACTTCTTTGCCTCAGTCTTCACTGGCAAATGCTCTGACCACACCACCCAAGTCTTGGAAGGCAGACAAAGGGACTGTGAGAATGAAGACCTTGGGCCCACTGTAGGAGAGGATCTGGTTCGAGACCATCTTAAGAACCTGAACATACACAAGTCCACGGGACCTGATGAAATCTACCTGCGGGTCCTGAAGGAGCTGGCAAATGAAGTTGCTAAGCCACTGTCCATCATATTTGAAAAATCATGGCAGTTAGGTGAAGTTCCAAACAACTGGAAAAAGGGAAATATAACCCCCATTTTCAAGAAGGGGAAAATGGATGACCCAGAGAATTACAGACCAGTCAGTCTCACCTCTGTGCCTGGCAAAATCTTGGAGCAGATTCTCCTGGAAGGCATGCTAAGGCACATGAAAAACAACAAGGTGCTTGGTGACAGCCAGCATGGCTTCACTAAGGGGAAATCCTGCCTGACCAATTTGGTGGCCTTCTCTGATGGGGCTACAGAACTGATGGACAGGCAGAGCAGTTGACGTCATCTACCTGGACTTGTGCAAAGCATTTGACACTGTCCCACACAACATCCTTGTCTCTAAATTGGAGAGACATCAATTTGATGGATGGACCACTGGGTGGATAAAGAACTGGCTGGATGGCCACACACAAAAGGCTGTGGTCAATGGCTCAATGTCCAGCTGGAGACCAGTAACGAGTGGTGTCCCTCAGGCATCGGTGTTGGGACCAATCTTGTTCAACATCTTTGTCGCTGACATGGACAGTGGGATTGAGTGCGCCCTCAGCAAGTTTGCCAATGACACCAAGTTGTGTGGTTCAGTTGATACGCTGGAGGGAAGGAATGCCATCCAGAGGGACCTTGTAAAGTGGGCTGATGCCTGCCTTACAAAGTTTAACCATGCCAAGTGCAAGGTCCTACAGCTGGGTCAGAGCAATCCCAGGCACAGCTACAGGTTGGGCAGAGAAGAGATTCAAAGCAGCCCTGTGGAGAAGGACTTGGGGGTGTTGACTGATGAGAAAATGAACATGAGCCAGCTTCAGTGTGCGTTCGCAGCCCAGAAAGCCAACCGTATCCTGGGCTGCATCAAAAGGAGTGTGACCAGCAGGTCAAAGCTCGCATGAGACCACACTTGGAGTATTGAGTACAGTTCTGGTGTCCTCAGCATAAAAAGGACACGGAACTGTTGGAACAAGTCCAGAGGAGGGCCACGAGGATGATCAGGGGACTGGAGCACCTCCCGTATGAAGATAGGCTGAGAAAGTTGGGGCTGTTCAGCCTGGAGAAGAAAAGGCTGCGTGGAGACCTCATAGCAACCTTCCAGTATCTGAAGGCGGCGTATAAGGATGCTGGGGACGGACTATTCATTAGAGACTGTAGTGACAGGACAAGGGGTAACAGGTTAAAACTTAAACAGGGGAAGTTTAGATTGGATATAAGGAGGAAGTTCTTTACTGTAAGGCTGGTGAGGCACTGGAATAGGTTGTCCAGGGAGGTTGTGAATGCTCCATCCCTGGCAGTGTTCAAGACCACGTCAGACGAGGCCTTGGGTGATACGGTTTAGTGTGAGGTGACCCTGCCCATGGCAGGGGGGTTGGAACTAGATGATCTTCAGGTCCTTTCCAACCCTAATTATTCTATGATTCTATCAGACAAGATCAGGTGTTTTCAGGGTGGTGTGGCCATAGGCATGACGTGCTGTGGTATGGAATACCTCTTTGGCTAGCTTGAGTCAGGTATCCTGTCTGCTTCCTCCCGGCTTCCCCTCCTCCCTGGCAGAGCATGAGCCTCACAAAGGCCTTGGTCAGGGTAAACATTACTTAGCAACAACTGAAAAAATTGGTGTTATCAGCACTGTTCCCAGGCTGAAAGTCAAAACACAACGCTGCACCAGGTACCAAGAAGGAGAAAAATTGACTGCTACTGGTAAACCCAGGACAGCAGCCATTTACCTATTTCTCAGGCTTTACCAGCGGGAGGAAGGCCTATATTGGTTTGAGAGAAGACATCTGGTTCTCTCATTTCATGTTTTCGTTATCTCTATATCTTCTATACACAGTCTCTATAGCCTCTATATACAGTAAATTTCTAGTTTAAGAATCCTTGTAGCACTGTCTAAGTCTCTATATTCAGTGAAATACTTATTTAATTTGGTATCCAGTCCATTTGATCTTTTGTAGCAAGACAAGGTCAAACTTAAGTTTGCTCTAGAATGATCTCTGTATATGGTCACATTTAAAAGCTGTGTATGTCTATAGTAGTTTTTATAGAAAGCATTCATTAGATACTGACAAGCCCTTTCAATTCTTACCCTCTTAGTTTGTACATTCTGTTGTCTTCACTCTTGGGCTGCAAGTGGAGTTTGCTACCACAAAATGTCACCTTGGTTCTAATTCCCAGCTTTGTCAGTGACTTTACTTTCTTGAAAGGCTCTGGGAAAGTTACTCCTGCCCATGACACGCTTCTAGAAATTAAAAATGGAATTTTACTTATAGGGTAATGAGGAGATAAACTGGTGCTTATACGTTGTGGACACATGGAGAATATCATACACTTGCTTACTGTACCAGGAGGCATAGAAATAGGAATAAAACCCTTACAATGTATACCAGGAAATGAAATACTACTTGCAAATCGTTGTCTAAATAACTTCCCCAGAATTGATTCAGTCTTTAGATCAGGATTTTGATTTTTGTAGATGATACAGAACTGAGGGAAGTGGTTGATATACCATTGTTCCACTTCAGAGGGACCTGGACTAGCTGCAGGAATGGCCTGACAATATCTGAAATTCAGCGAAAGGAAATGCTCAATCCTGCATCTGGGGAGAAACTACCCTGGCACCAGCACAGGCTGAGGACAACCTGCTGGAAGCAGCTTGGCAGAAGTAGCCCTGGGAGTCCTGGTGGACACCAAGCTGACCATGAGCCACTAATGTGCCCTGGAAAAAAAGGCAGCCAGAGGCATCCTGGGCTGCATTAGGCTGAGTGTTGCCAGCAGGTCGAGGTAGGTGATCCTAGACTGCTGGGTCCAGTTCTGGGACTCCTACTACAAGAGAGATACAGAGCTGCTGGAGAGAGTCTAGTGAAGAACCACAAAGATTATTAAGGGATCTGATACGAGAAGTGTCTTAGAAAGCTGGGACTGTGCAGCCTGGAGAGATGAAGGCTCAGGGACATCTTATTAATGTGTATAAATACCCAGCTGTGGGGAGTAGTGAAGATGGAACCAGACACTGCTCAGTGGTGCCCAGTGACCAGGTAAGAAGCAACAGGCAAAAAGCTGAAACAGCGGAAAATCAGTGGGGGTAGTCAGCCACTGGACCAAATTTCTCAGGGAGGCTGTGGAGCCTCCAGCATTGAGGATAATGACTGGACAAAGCCCTGAGCAACCTACAGGAGATGACCCTGCACTGAGCAAGGGGTGGGACAGGACAAGGTACCCAAGTGCCTTTCAGTCTCAATCATCCCAAGATTCTGTGATTTACTCTTTTCAAGGAATGGAAACCCACATTAGTGAGATTAACTTATAGATAAGGGACAGAAAATAGCATTTCTTTCAGTTACTACAAAATAAATGTCAGATAACAAATGTTAAATAGCACAACAGACATCAGAGACATTTCACATTCTTCCCTGAATCTTGCAGAAATCTTCAGAAATTTTATATATACACAGATTTACAGTTTTAATCAAATAGGCTAAAATATCGCCAAAATTTTGCTTAGGCTTTTTTAAGCAGGAAGCTAATCCATAGTGCTAGTATAACCGCACCTAACTTAATCCTTGTCAAACATCTGTATTCTGCCCAAAATCTTCTGTGGCAAAAGAAAATCAATAGACAACATAGAGAGACATACCTCTTCTTATAAAAGCTATCCTCCTCTGTCTTATTTGATTTGGGATCACAGCAGCAAGGACACTTGAACTTGTAGTTGTGCTCATGCAAGTATCAATGTTTTGCTCTGATAGTTAGCTTTTTTTGCTGCATGCCAGTGTTAATACCAAATGCTGCAAGTTAGAAAGTGACTCAGTTTATCATTTCCTTTACTGCTTTTGAACTTCCTTACATTTCCTAATTTGCAGATGTTAGCGATTTCAAGTGAACTGATCATGCAACTATCTCTTCCTTCCTGTTATGTTGGATGAACTGAGCATTAATAGTCACAATATGCAAACCCATTATACAAAAATACATACTCTGTAGTCATAGTTCATGAATATGCTCATAGAAACACCTCTCCTAAAAATAAACACATTTTCATGAATAATATGTTCTGGAAATAACAGCAGTATTGTGTGACAAAGTCATGTTGGAGTTGCTTACAACATGGCTATTTATTTCTGTCAGCACCTGACTAGCTGTATACATTGTTTATGACTCCTGCACCAGTCTAGAAGATTCTTCTTTGAGAAAGATCAATACTTAGCATGTATTTGCAAACAGCCGAGAAAATTATGTCTTGCATATTTATAGGCAAAGAAATGGCAAGGAAAATATCAGATACAAATTTCTGAACTTTCTCACTGCCTGATTACTGGGTAATTTTGTTTGGTTCATCTTAGGCTACAATATTGTGGGTTAGGTGCAAAAGCATCCATATATTCAAATTCAAAGAAAATATCCAAGGCATATATGGAATTCAGTAATGTCAAGTTCACAAAAGACTTTGCAGTCCTAAAAATAGAGAGTATAAGCCGCAATGTTTGCTTTAACTTCCAGCAGCTGTAGATGTGGCTCTGGGTTGCGCTGAACGTTATCCACTCCCCAGATTGTTTCACATGATATCTGGCATGCAGATATGTAATCCTCATGTAATATGTTCTCTTTATTTCTTGCTGTTCTCAAACGCTTGTAGCACGGGTGATTTTAATTGCCACCTACATTCCACTCCCAACAAGGGCACAATAACAGGAAGGTGGAGAATTCTCCAGGCTTCACTTACTAATTAGGCTGTTAGAGAAAGAACTGTTCTTAACCCTGCTTTCTTTGAACCAAAATTGTTTGGTGGGAATTTTTGTTTCTTTCTTGTTTGGTTTGGTGTTTTTTGGCTTGGTTTGTTTTTGTTGTTTTTTTTTTCTGTTTGTTTTGGTTTTGCTATTACATGTGTCATTTGCGCAATAGCAAATGACATTGCAGACATTTCAAATTTTAAATGTCTTTGCTTTTCAGTTCACATTGCTCAGCGTCTTGCCTACCTTTACCCTGGCTCCCACCAGCCACCACCTCAGTGACCACGACCACCGTGCACAACTTTTCTATAGCACTATTCTCCTGTACCACACTAATTTCTGTTGCAGAATGTGGGATTACAAACACCACAAAGCATGTGCCAGTATGCCTGATTAATAAATCAGCATATTAAATTAAATAAAGGGATTTGCCCCAAGGCTCTATCCAGCCTGGCCTTGAACACCGCCAGGGATGGAGCATTCACAACTTTACTCTAAGGTTGGTGAGGCTCAGGGAAGCACTTCTTCCTTATATCCAATCTAAACTTACCCCTTTTAAGTTTTAGCCCATTACCCCTTGTCCTATCACTACAGTCCCTAATGAAGAGTCCCTCCCTAGCATCCTTATAAGCCCCCTTCAGATACTGGAAGGCTGCTGTGAGGTCTCCATGCAGCCTTCTCCTCTCCAGGCTGAACAGCGCCAGCTTTCTCAGCCTCTCTTCATATCGGAGGTGCTCCAGTCCCCTGATTATCCTCGTGGCCCTTCTTTGGACTTCTTCCAACAGTTCCGTGTCCTTTTTATGTTGAGGACACCAGAACTGTACACAATACTCCAAGTGAGGTCTCACGAGAGCAGAGTAGAGGGGCAGGATCACCTCCTTCGACCTGCTGGTCATGCTCCTCTTGATGCAGCCCAGGATACGGTTGGCTTTCTGGGCTGCAATTGCACACTGCTGGCTCACGTTCATTCTCTCATCAACCAACACCCCCAAGTCCTTCTCCACAGGGCTGCTCTGAATCGCTTCTTTGCCCAACCTGTAGCTGTGCCTGGGATTGTTCCGACCCAGGTGTAGGACCTTGCACTTGGCATGGTTAAACTTCATAAGGTTGGCATCAGCCCAACTCACAAGCGTGTTGAGGTCCCTCTGGATGGCATTCCTTCCCTCCAGGGTATCAACTGAACCACACAGCTTGGTGTCATTGGCAAACTTGCTGAGGGCGCACTCAATCCCATTGTCCGTGTCAGCAACGAAGATGTTAAACAAGACTGGTCCCAACACCGATCCCTGAGGGACACCACTCATTACTGGTCTCCAGCCGGATATTGAGCCATTGACCACAGCCTTTTGCATGCAGGCATCCAGCCAGTTCTTTATCCACCGAGTGGTCCATCCATCAAATTGATGTCTCTCCAATTTAGAGACAAGGATGTCGTGTGGACAGCATCAAACACTTTGCACAAATCCAGGTAGATGACGTCAACTGCTCTGCCTGTCCATCAGTTCTGTAGCCCCATCATAGAAGGCCACCAAATCGGTCAGGCAGGATTTCCCCTTCGTGAAGCCATGCTGGCTGTCACCAAGCACCTTGTTTTTCATGTGCCTTAGCATGCCTTCCAGGAGAATCTGCTCCAAGATTTTGCCAAGCACAGAGGTGAGACTGACTGGTCTGTAATTCCCCGGGTCATCCATTTTCCCCTTCTTGAAAATGGGGGTTATATTTCCCTTTTTCCAGTTGTTTGGAACTTCACCTACTGCCATGATTTTTCAAATATGATGGACAGTGGCTTAGCAACTTCATTTGCCAGCTCCTTCAGGACCCGCAGGTAGATTTCATCAGGCCCATAGACTTGTGTATGTTCAGGTTCTTAAGATGGTCTCGAACCAGATCCTCTCCTACAGTGGGCCCAAAGTCTTCATTCTCACAGTCTCTTTGTCTGCCTTCCAAGACTTGGGTGGTGTGGTCAGAGCATTTGCCAGTGAAGACTGAGGCAAAGAAGTCATTAAGAACCTCAGCCTTCTCCAAATCCAGGATAGCCAGTTCTCCTGATAGCTTCCAGAGAGGGCCCACTTTGTCCCTAGTCTGTCTTTTATTTGCAATGCACCTATAGCATCCCTTCCTGTTATCTTTCACATCCCTAGCCAAGTGTAATTCTAAATGGGCCTTAGCTTTCCTAACCTGGTCCCTAGCTTCCTGGACAACATCCCTGTACTCTTCCCAAGCTGCCTGTCCTTGCTTCCACTTATTATAAGCCTCTTTTTTCATTTGAATTTTCCTCAGCAGCTCTTTATCCATCCAAGGAGATCTCCTGGCCCTCCCGCTGCACTTGCTTCTAGTTGGGATGCAACACTCCTGAGCTTGTAGCAGGTGATCCTTGAATATCAACCAACAGTCTTGGGCCCCCCTGCCCTCTAGGGCTATATCCCAGGGAACCTTACTAAGCAGGTTCCTGAAGAGGCCAATATCTGCTCTCTTGATGTCCACGGCAGTGACCTTGCTGCACACTCTTCTCACCGTCCTGAGGATCTTGAATTCGACCATCTCATGATTGCTACAACCAAGGCTGCCCTGGAGTATCATATTTCCAAAGAGCCCTTCCCTGTTGGTGAACACAAGGTCAAGCATGGCACCCCTCCCTCTATTACTTGCAGGAGGAAGTTGTCTTCCACACAATCACGGAACCTCCTGGATTGCTTGTGCCGGGCTGTCTTATCCCTCCAACAGATATCAGGGTGGTTGAAGTCCCCCATGAGAACAAGGGCCTGTGAGCGTGAGACTGTTCCTATCTGTCTGTAGAGTGTTTCATCCACAGATTCCTCTTGATCAGGCAGTCTGTAACCAATCCCTACAATAATGTCTCCCATCGCTGTTATCCCTTTAACCCTGACCCACAAACTCTCTGTTGACTGATCACCTGTCCCCAGACAGAGTTCCATACTCTCCAGCCTATCCCTAACATAAAGGGCAACTCCGTCTCCCCGTCTGCCAGGCCTGTCTTTTCTAAAGAGCCTGTAACCTTCCATTCCAACACTCCAGTCATAGGAGCCATCCCACCATGTTTCTGTGATGCCTATTATATCATACTCCCGTAGATGTGCACACATCTCTAATTCCTCTTGTTTGTTCTCCATGCTATGGGCATTTGTATAGAGGCATCTGAGCAGAGCTCCAAATGAAGCCGCCTCATTGGCTGGAGCGGCTGGGATATCTCTACATTGCTCTGAGCATTTATTATAGGTGCTGGCAACTGACTGGGTGTGTTGGGATGGAATGATGCCCCCCTCCCCCAACACATCTAGTTTAAAGCCTCCTTGACCAGTCTGGCAAGCCTCCTACCAAAACTGCTCTTTCCCTTAGAACAGCTCCACCAGCCCCCACTAGACCTGGCCTACAAACTTGGGTCCCGTGTTCAAGACACCCAAACCCCTGACTATGGCACCACCCTTCTAACCATTTATTAACCTGGCCAATCTGCCTATCCTTTTTGAGGTCCTCCCCTTTATCCTGGAGAATTGATAAAAAGACAGTCTGCGCTCCAGAGACCTTAACCACCTCTCCCAGGGCTCTGTAGTCCTTCTTTCCGGGCTACTGCTATCTATATCCCTAGCACTCACATGGATCACTATAAGTGGGTAATAGTCAGTGGGACTTACTAGACAGGCAGCCTCTCTGCCACATCCCTGATCCGTGCCCCTGGTAGGCAACACACCTCCCTTGAGGGAGGGTCAGGCCGACAGATGAGTGCTTCTGTCTCTTTCAGTGTAGAGTCCCCTACTACTACGACCCGTCGCTTTTTCCTGGCAGCACCAGTAGAGATCTTTACCAGTGCATCAGCCGGCTGTTCATGGTGTGAGTGTGTTTCCTCATCAGCCCCCTGCAGAACAGCAAAGCCGTTCTGGGTGGGGACAACAGATTTAGGAGGAAACCCCATGCTTTTAACTGTCCTCTTCCTTTTTTGTTGTGGTTTTTTGTTGTTGTTTTTTTTTTTGTTGTTGTTACTGTTTCCCAGCTTCCTGGGTTAGTGGCCTCCTTCTTTCCTCCATAAGCTA